GGAAATTTATAGAAAATTTAAAGATTATAGAAATTAAAATATAAAAGTTGTAAAAATATTCATTTTTTCAAAGCAATTTAATTTTACAGTAGTTTATGATAGTAGAATAAATCTTTTATTCATTACAACATTAAATTATTTTTGAATTTATTATAATACTTTGAATATAATAAGATATATAATTACAATATTAATTTAATATTAAATGTAATATAATTTTATATTATTTAATTATAATATTAATAATAATATAAAATTATTATATATTATCTTGTATATAATTACTTATTTAATGTTCATAAAAATTTCATAGAATATAAAAAATTCAGTGTTTAATTATTTATTATATAATATATATGTATTTTACTTTAAATAATTTAGAACAATTATAAAATATAGGAATAAAAATGAAATTTTGATGTTATATTTCAATGGAAATAATGATGATAATGCTAATTTCAAAGTACTATTTTCTTACAAGACTTTTTTTATACACTTTTTTGTAACATATAAATGAAAATAAAAAAAAACATTGCAATCGAATATTAATAAAATTTTATTTTTTCCAAAAATTAAATCCCAAACTTCCATAGATTTAGACAGATTTTTTTTATTTATTTTGTTATAATTTAAATAAAAAAATATATAAATAAAAAAAAATAATTAAATAATTTTGTTGAATATTAATGATTTTGAAAAATATAATAAAAAATTAGTTATAAACCAATTATAGATATTAATACGAATTAATTTTTTTTTATTTGTAAAATGGAATCTAATATTTTTTTTATTTTTCTCATTATAAAAAAATATTAAAAAATCAGTAAGAAAATTCGATAAATTCACATAGAATATATTAAAAAAATATATTAATATTGATTACTTATGCATTATAATTTATATCATAAATACTTTAAGTTTTATTTTACTAATTTTATTTATATATCTTTTAATAAGTAAACAAAGTATTTTATAATTTCATATTAAAATGTACAAAAAAATTAAATAAAATACAATACAAATTAATAAAATAATTATATTTAATACTAATAATAAAATATGAATTTATAAGAAATCAAATAAGTTCTGAACTAATTTCACATATGAAAATTTATTTTTTTTTTTTATATTATATTAATTTTGATTAATTTTTTAAATGTTGAATTAAAAAACGATAAATTTTAATATTAAATTTTTTTAAATCTTTTATTTTTCTTTTATTTTTTTTTATTCAAAATATATTAAAAATATCTTTTAATAAAAATTGATATTGATTTTTCTTTAAATGCTAAAATAATCAATATATAAGAATTTAAAATTGATATAATAAATGAATCTTATTTTAATAATTATATTTAAATATAATGATATAAAGAATATAATATAAATAATAATTAATCATTATTTTTGTTTTATAGGACAACGAGCATGGTATCTGGTTTTACAGGTGAAAGTCAACTAACTGTTGGTGTCAGTGGTAACACAAGCAATGTTCCACTTGGAACATTTAACTCACTTGGTACATTTAACACAAAACCACTTTCTTCAAGTTCCTCATCTACCTCTGGACGTAGTGAGGATGCGCAACAATATGGAAGTCTCCCAGGTAGTGATCATCAGAGTCACTCTCAGCAAGATGATAGTGGACCTGAGGAAAGCCCTGTATACATTTTAACTTCTGCTAAAGGTGATCGCAGTTATAAATTAAGAGATTCCAGGTAAGTTATTTTATTTCTTATTTTAAAATAAATAATAAAATATTTTTTTTATATTTGTGGAATACAAATTTAATATATAAAAATAACATATAAATATAATAATAAAAATAAATATTTAATAAAATTTATAATTTTATATCTATATATAAATTTTTAAGAAATAAATTTAAATATATTAATAATTTCTAAGATTAAATTTTAGATGATAATAAATAATAATACTTTTAG